CTGTTGATGATGATGATGATGATGATGATGATGATGCTGAGGATGAGGATGAGGATGAGGGTGAGGATGAGGATGAGGATGAGGATGAGGATGATGATGATGATGATGATGATGATGATGATGCTGATGCTGATGCTCATGAAGATGATGATAATGATGATGATGATGGTGATGGTGATGGTGATGATGATGATGCTGCTGACGATGATAATGATGTTGCTGATGCTGATGCTGATGATGGTGATGATGATGATGATGGTGATGGTGATGGTGATGGTGATGGTGATGGTGATGATGATGATGATGATGATGATGATGATGATGATGATGATGATGATGGTGGTGGTGGTGATGATGATGATGATGGCACGACAAGATATGGAACTAAGAATTGCGATGCTGACGCCGAATCCGTGGAGGCGCACCCAGCGGAGGGAGGCTCGCAGGAAGGGGCGGGCAGGTAGAAACTCTGGGTTGGGCAGCTTTTTGGGCAGCTGCTTGTGCCGCTAGGGGCTCGGGTGGTGGTGGTGGTAGTGGTGCTGCTGCCACACGCTGGCGGCCTTTTTTGTTGGGAACGTGGGGAGTTTGGGAGGCATGGTGGAGGAAAAGGAGGGGACCCAGTCACCTTCATTTCTTATCGCGTCGCTCATTCCGCCGGCCTCTATTGCCTCGCCGCTTGGGGGCCGTGTTGGGACCTTTTGGGGGCCTCTGGGAAGCAGTTTTGAAGCCTCTTGGGGGCCGTGTCGGGGCCTCTTCAGGGCCTCTTGGGGGCCTCTTGGAGCTTCTTGGGGTGCCTCTTGGGGTCCCTCTTGGGGGCCCCTTGGGGCCTCTTGGGGGGCTCTTGGGGCCTCCTGGGGGCCTCTTGGGGCTGAAGGAAGGCTGGACTTGTCGGTTCCTGGTCCCCGTCTTGGGCCCCTCTTGGGGCCGTTTTGGGGCCCTCTTGGGCCATCTTGAGCTCCTCTTTGCCTGTCTTGGGGTCATCTTGGGCCGTCTTAGGGCCCTCTTGGAGGCTTCTTGGGCCGTCGTCTTGGGGGCCCCTTGCGCCGTCTCGGAGCATTGGAAAGCCGAAACGGAGAGAAACGTGGTGCACGCGAGAGACGTATGGTTCCCGACGAGAATGGGGCGATTTCATCGCTGGTTTGGGGCCCTCGTGGAGAGCCTCTTGAGGCTCTCGTCGGGCTTTTTCGCGCACTCCTGGGGCCATCTGGAGACCATCTCGAGCGCCTTGGAGCGCTCTCTCGGCGCCTCGGGGCCTCCCGGGGCCCTGGGCCGTGTCAGGGGGGCGTCCCGGCGCCCTCTCTCGGAGCGCTCCCGGAGCGCCCTGGGTCGACTGCACGTAGGGGTGACCCTTCGCCGGAGTGACCTTTGGTGCGGGCTCATCGGGCTTCCCCCGATCGCCGAGCGCGATGCGATTGAAGCGGCCCCGCGCCCTCGGGTTTGGCTCCCTCGCGCCCCCCAAAGCGGCGCACCACAGGTCACTCTTACCCAGGGTCGCTCTTACGCTCCAGCCGACTGGGGGAGTCGGCCAGGTATTGGCCGGGGTACTTTTCGCGACGGGATCCCCAGGGGCCGCCACGCACGCGCGAACCAGTAACATTGCTGACCTGTCACTGGAGATCTTAGCACGCCTTTGGCCCGCTGGGCCAGGGAATTGATGTATCTATACATCTAGACGTACACACACCACACACCTTTTCAACCACATTCAGGTGATAAGGAGCTCGGTGGGGGGAGAGTGAACCAACTGACGACAACTGCGATGGCGGTGATGATGACGATGCTGGTGATGCGCCCTCGAATTGGCGGCGACGCGTGGTGACGATTCGGCGTCGCGATGTGGTACAATTACCGATCCCACTCGATCGACCTCACCATCGAGACACCACCAGGGCGCCATGAGGCCAAACGAATGCCACAGCTACTGTGCTGTGAGGGTTGGTGCTAATTTCAGGAGGGGAAAAACACACAGACACAATTGATCGTCCACTCCCAGGAAAATATTGGAAAACATGGGAAGTGGGGGGGAAGACAAAAACCAAGAAAATATCGGGAAAATATGGGGAATCCTTTTATTTGCGTGTGCTTATGTGTGGGTCCCAGGGCCCCTTCATAACTGTGATGGCTGGCTACTGATGGCAAGGTGATGGCCGCAGTGGTGATGAGTGCGGTGGCGACAGCAACGGCGGCAGTGCTGAGTACGACCGAAACACCATCGGATTACTGTCGGGCCAAATCGAAGCCACCACTCTTCCGCGCTGCGATGGCTGTGTGACGATGCGGCGTCACAGTCGATCCCGAAGCCGGTGATGCTGACATTGAACACCGTTTGGCCTATCGGGTTCTCTGCGACCCCCTCAAGGCTCACCATGGACACGATCGAGACACCATCGAACCACCACCGGGACACCATCAATACACCAATCGAGAAACCAATCGGGACACCATCGGAATACCACTCGGGGCACCTATCGGTTCACCACGTGGACACCACCGAGACACCATCGAGACACCACCAGGACACCATCAGGACACCAATCGGGAAACCAATCGGGACACCAATCGGGGCACCAATCAGGACACCATCAGGCCACCGTCAATCTCATTATTGATCTCATGATCGATCTCATCGGATCCACTCGATCAATCGCACCATCGCTCTCCTTCGATCGATCTCACTTTTCGTCTCATTCTGGATCTCACAAGTGATCCCACTATCGATCTCACTATCGGTCTCACGATCGGTCTCACTATTATCAGTTTCGCTATCAATCTCACCACGGGACACCGACGGGACTCCAAAGGGCGACGGAACACCCGCGGGACACTGACTGGACACCGAACGGACACCACGGCGCACCAATCGAATTCATTTTCGATATCGCTATCAATCTCACTCGCTCAATCGACCTCACTCGCTCCATCTCACGATTCGGCCTCACTATCGATCTCATTATCGGTCTCACCACGGGAAATCCACTGGACACCGACGGGACACCAACGGGACACCGACGGGACACCGATTGTATTTCGACGGGACAGCAACGTGATAGCGATGGCACAGCGACGGAGCAGCCTCGAAACACCAGCGGGACACCGACGGGGCACCGACGGGACACTACGGCGGGACAACCCGGCCACCGCCCACCCACCGCGGGGAGGAGGCGGACAGCGACGGGACACCACAGCGGGACAACCGGGCCACCGCCGTCTCACCGCCGCCACCAGGGGAGGGAGAAGAGGCGGTGAACGGCTCTTGACCCGCCCCAGCAACAGCGAGTCATTTTTCTCACCCGCCCACGCAGCTTTGCCCCTCCTGCGCGCACGACGCGAGCCCGAAACCGAAGCCGATTTCCGGGTGGGGGTGGGCTCTCCGTTCCATGTCGATCTCATTCCCCAGTTTGCGATGCATATATATATATATATATATATACAGGGGGCACACACGACACCGGCAAATGAGCGAGGGATGGACGTCCGAGCGATGGCAAGGAAAGCCTCCACACAGAAAGCAGAGACAGCGAGCCTTCGCTCCTTTTGCCCAGTAGCAGGGCGGGCAGCCGATGAGCATTGTGCTTGGCTGCAAGACCTGGCGTTGATGGGTCCATGCTCTCGGCTGATTCCAGGGCGTCAGCAGCACTTCGCGGCACTTAGCGGCACCGCGCTCGTGGCTCGTTTTCGGAGGCCGCGATGCTCAGTCCGAAGTTCTCCGGAGAGGCTGCATGAAATGAGCCCCGGACATCGAACAAGAAGAGATGCATGAACATCGATGTTCGAAGCTCTGAACGGATTTCTTGGATCGGCGCCTCGGTGGGAGCGAGACACGCCCCCCGCAGGCAGCCAGGGCCTCGGTGGGAGCGAGACATGGCAAGAGGAGGAGGAGGAGGCGCCTCTGGCGCCGCCCTTGGCGCGCTGCGCGCGCTCCGGTCCGTTCGGTTATGCTTGCTCTTGCTTCTCTAAAGACGCTCGTTGGTCGGTGTGATGCCTCGGAGAGCATGCCTCTTCGCCAACTGGTTCCCGCGGGGATTGCCGACGGCACTCAGCGACTGCGGACTGCACCGCCCAAGTTGGTGACCAGTGCGGCTGTTGAGGAACATGATGAGCACGATGCCGGTTGTCACAGGTGGGGCTGAACGCATAGGCGTTGCTCATGATGGGCGCGGATTGATGTGTTGGTTGTTTTGGAGTTTGGCGATGGCTGCTGTCATCCCAGGAATCGCTCGGAGACGAAGTACGGGCTACACTGAAGCGAAATCGCCTTGTGTTTCGTCTCTTCGCCCCCGCCAATACTTTGGCTGGCGCTGTTGGCATAACCCTTGCCATAAGAAGTAGCGAATGAACTTCGTGGCACCACGCGAAGCGTACTGCGCACGGCATTTGGGTGTGTCGTTGAGGGTTTGTCGCGCATTGTTCTGACTGGCAAGCGCCGCAAGCGAGGTAGCTTCCAGCAGTGTTAGGGCCCCTCTTTCTCCGCGATTGGTGCTCGTGCTATCATGGTTGTCGACGGAGTCGGAGTCATCGGGGTGAAGCGCAACATGCATCTCCAGCAGGCTCCCAAAGTCAAGCCGAGTCGAGCTAAAAGCAAGCGCTGGATGAGGCGGTCTGTATTGGCAGCCGTGCCGCGGAGAACGCCGTCGCAACAGTGCGCTGCCTCTTCGGATGAACACCGCATCCAGCGAGAAGCGACGGTGGATGACGCATCCAGCGAGAAGAGCAACAGCAGGCAGCTGCGCCCCTGGCACGTTGCTTCCAGCCGCGACAAGGCATAGACGTCGCCATTCGACACATGCGGGAGGTCGACGAGGGGACGACGACGACGACGACGACGAGGAGGGAGATGAAGGCTCAGTGGGTGGCAGCACAGCGGCGGCTCGTGCCCACATGTTGTGCATGTGAAGAGTCACTGATCCCACTTCCGGCCTTCAGCTACTCTATCATTGCGCTCTTCCCTCCATTCTGAGATTCCCCTCCGGGGCTACCGCTGTATTGTAGCCAGCCGGCAGGACGGAGTGGGACGTCCTGATCGAGCGCGCTCAGGCACTCGGCGTGGATTGGGAGGATCGCTGGGCAGGCACTAAGATCCCGAGGAGCAGGGCCTTCCATAGATCCTTCGCCAAGATGCATGGGCTCCCCTGGGCGAGGAAGAGGCCGAACAGGAGGAAAGGAACGAGGGCATAACCAGCACAACCCTCTTTGCTTTCCTTGTCGTCCTCTCCCCCGTCCTCCGCATCTGACTGCCATCTCCACTTCCTGCTCGTGCAGCACACGTTCCTGCTCCCCATACTCCTCAATATCCGCCACCTCCAACTCATCAAGAGCTCCTCCTCATTGCCCTGCGTCCCTCCCCTCTCCGCATCCGTATCCTCTCGGTCTCTTCTCCATCCTCCCGCCTTCCCGCACTCTCCGCCGCTCAGTCCTCCCTCCCCTTTCTCCTCCCCTCCAGCTTTCCTCCCACCTCTTTCACAGCGAACCGCCCCACGTCATCACGATTCCTCAGGCGAGCGAGTTTTCGATGTTTTGGGACTGGCCGGGCCAAGCCGTTGGGAAGGGCCAGTCTCAGCGCGAGGTTAGAGGGCCTCATTCGTCGAGACGCCTCAGATGCGGTTGTTTTCGTCATAGGGTTGGTTTTCGCTGCGCTCCGGTGAGCTCCCGACCTAGATCCCAAGGCGTCCCGGCGCGCGGGCCGATCCGTGGATACAATCCCCCATCGGCCTAGGCGGCGCATCATTCCAGGCCGTGCAGTCCGACGGGCCCTTCTTTGGGGCCTTCCCGTTGGGGAGGCGCTTACTACACACCCACCACAGATGCTGGTAAAGCCAATCCTGGGTCCAGCACGTGCATTGCCCAGATCGGTGCCGGCGTCTACTCATCGTTCGCTGCAAGCAAGTATTTTGGGAGTCCCATGTTCCGATCTGCTTTGGATGGTCTCATGCTTAAATCATCGAGTAGATTCTCCTGCCCCTTCCTCCTTGATGGAGCGGGCGGGGAACCCTCGAAACACCCCGCGACCCTTCTGCGACCCACCCGCGGCACACCCCACGACCCACCCCGCGATCCACCGGTAACCTTGCCCGCGACCCACCTGCGAACGAACCACCCGCGACCCAGCCCGCGCCCGCCCCCTCACTCTCATCCGTGACCGCAAGTGCGGGGTGCTAAGCATACCCCCGACGCCTTCATGCTCTCGGCGGCGAGCGAGGAAGGAGGTGAGAAGGAGAAGACTCCCTTCTCAGACGGCGGCTGGACTTCTCAGAAGCCCTCGCGCCTTCTGCGAGGTTTCGTGTTTCTTCGGGGAGCTTGCCGCCTGACCGCGGCCCCGCGCGCGCCCGCCCCCCTTGTCGCGGCCGCAGCCCGCCCGCGACCGCCCGCCGCCGGCGCTTCCGCCTGCGGCTGTAAATAATAATAATAATAATAATAAGAATAGTAATAATAATAATAATAATAATAAGTCTTCGGGGAAGGCTGAGAAAACTTCTCAGAAGGCCGCGGGACTTCCGAGCCTTCGAGCGCCGCGGCCCGGGCCGCAACGGTGTCCGTCTCTGCGGCGGCAGCGTGGGAGGGGTGGGAGGGCCCCAGGGGCCATGTGTTCAGCGACGCAGAAAAACGGGGCCGTCTGCGCCTCCTCCTCCTCCTCCTCTTCCTTCCTCCTCCTCCTCCTCCTCCTCCTCCTCCTCCTCCTCCTCCTCCTCCTCCTCCTCCTCCTCCTCCTCTCCTCCTCCTCCTCCTCCTCCTCCTCCTCCTCCTCCTCCTCCTCCCCCCCCTCTTCCTCCCTCCTCCTCGCGACGAAGAAAAACGGGGCCGTCTGCGCCGACACTGGCGCGTAAGCTGCCCGCGTAATGTCGCGCGTAAGCGCCCTCGTCTCCAATGCAGCGCGCCTCGCTGGCGGCCCGCGTAAGCCACCGCGTAAGGTCGCCACGTCGTCTCGCGTAAGACCCGTTTGTTGATCGTCTCTCAATTGTTCATCCCGCCCGGAGAATGCCCCAGGAACCACCCCAGGCCACCCACATACCGCCAGCCATGCTTTGCACCCCCCCTTTGGGGCGCCCCCCGTTAGGCCGTCCCCACCAAGGGGGGGGGTAATGATTGGGAGGCGGGGAATCGAGGACTGCAGGAAAAAGGTATCTTAAAGTGGTTCCAGAGGGCCCCCCACGGGGCCCCGAAGATGGAGGAGAGGTGCACCTTTCTTGCCCCCCCCTCCATTTATTGACACCCCCCATGAGGCAATAGCCGACGAAAACTAAGAGAAAACAGCAAGACTTGTTGTTCGGATGAGGGCCAGCTGAGAAAACAACGGCGGCTCTACCGCCCAGCACAAATCCGCTCGGCATCAGTCCCCCGACCCCTCCCGGCGTCCATCCTGATTCATGTGTCGGTGCGGATCCAGCCGTGGCGCCGAGAAGCCTTTGTGAGGCCCAACGAGGACGAACAGGCCAAGGGAGGGCTGCCGCTGTCTTGGCTGGCCCCCTTCCGATTGGCGGCCCTTGGGGGGTCCCCCGACCAGCCAGGTATGTGTGCCAAGGGGGTTACCGCGAAAAGGGGATCGCCGCCCACTCCCAGAAGCGGACCCCCCCTGGAGCCCCGCAGACACCTCGAGGACCCCCGGGGGTGCCCGCACACGTCCGAGCTCTCGATCCTCGCGCCCGACCCTCTCGTGGGCCCTCGCCTGCCAGGAGGAGGTGGGGACCCCCATAATTACTGCTCGGCGGCCAGGCGGTCGAAGCATGCCCGAGGGGGGGGCTGCGGCGCCGAATCGGGAAGTGGCCGATCCAGCACGATTCCTGGTTCTTGGCATCGCTCGGACGTGTGCATTGTTCCTTCGGCGAGGACCATCGAGGAACATCCTTGATCATTTGGCGAAAAAATAAAAATCACGCACGAAACCGAACAAAGCACAGGGAATGGACGTCCGAGCGATGGCGAGGGTGCGTCCTCGTCGTGGTAGCCGCCTGTCGAGGCCGACGGGCCGCAGCCAGCGGCCCAGACGAAAAGCAACCACGTCCTAGATCGTCCCCGGCCAGTTGGTTCTGCAGCGGCTTGGTCGCACTGCTGCTCAGTCGGGCGTGTGTCTTTCTACATGAGGAATATTCAAAAATAGCCAAACATGGCCTGAGGACGTTTGTGTTAAACAGTGTTGTTTGCCATTTCGGGGCACCTGTGCGTTTTTTGTTTCTCACACGTTTCGTCAAAAATCCCCCTGTAGGAGGACAGGCCCGACCCAACATTGCTGGCTGCCCCCCTCGGCACTGCCTGGCCCCAGGAGTGCATGGGCGAGAAGCTGCTGCTGGCCTTCCGGGGGCGCTCGGCGGAAGACGGCGGCCCGTCTCCCGGGTCGGTCTCGCCGGCGATTGGCTTCTCCGCGGCGCCTGGGGTGGCCAGGGGCAACGTTCGGAGAGGGAGAGGTCGAAGCGGGTACAGTGGGGGCGCGCATCAAGAATCCAGATGCTGTTCGTCAGGGTTTCTTGGGTTTCTTCGCTCCTCGCGCTGCGCAGTGGATTCCCGCAGCCGTTGAAGAAGCTGCTGCATTCAGGGTGCTTCAGCTTTCCCCTCGGGTGCACCTCGCGCACGGGTTCGCAGGGGTGGGTGGCTTGCGAGGGTTTCTTGCGGCCGCGCCCGCAGTGTACAGAAAGAAAAAGGGAAGACCGACAGCAGTGCCTGCCAATTTTGAGCAGGATTTCTCGTCGGTGTCGCCGCGGGCGTTGCCCATTTGAGACAGAAAGGCCGCCCGCCCAACAGCGGCCGCTGTCGCGCTTGAGCACTTGTTGCTGGGCATCGTATGCATGTTTCCCGTATCCATCCCGGGCGTCCAAGTAGGTTGGGGACAGGTTCAAGTGGTTTGAGTCGGGGGCGGAAAAGAGGGGGGTGATGACTAGGGGGGGGTGGATATCATGGCGTGGGCCATGATATTTCCCCAGATCTCATGGCGCCTCTTCTTATTTAAATACGTCCCTGGCCCCCCCGCTGGGCCGCGCACATGCCGCCGGTCATGATTTGCACCCCCCCTCTTGGACACCCCCCTCTTGGCCGCGCCCGATTGAGGTCGAGGTTTGAGGTTTCGGACGTCTTCGTGTCTCGGCGGCTTGCCCGCCTCGGGGTACCTTCCAGCGGCTGCGCCTCGCCGGGGGCGCTGCCGTGGTGCCCGAAGCGTCCTGATTGAACGGCCGCCAGAGGCCCAACTGACCCGAACACCACCAGGGGATATCGGGGGCAACGGTAGGCGGGGATGCGCATAGGGGGGGATGCATCGACCCCCAATCGCCCATTGATCACCGATAGGGGCCCGATAGCCCCACCTCGCCCAAGAACGGGATCCTCTATCGGGGGCCTCTCGCCGATCCATCGGCGAGGTATCGCCCATTCCAGATCGATGTTCCCCCCACTGTGCCTATCCCCCCCTGTCGTTGCCCCTCAGGATAGGCTCAGGGGTGGGCGCATCGGCCCCAAATCGCTCATGGATTGCCAGGGGGACATGATAGCCCGCCCCGCCCAGGAGCAAGCGGATTCTGCAAGCGGAGGCGGCCCCAGGTAGATCGGCGACAGGCCCCCCGTGGGCCTGTCGCCGATCTTCGTGCGATTTAGCTGCCTTGATGCGCCCGTGCTGAAACGCAACACGCACCGTGTTCAAAACGTCGGTGTTAAAACGTTGCGTGTTGGTTCGGCACGTATTGGTGCAAGTTTTGGCGAACGCATCCCACCAGACTTACGTTTTCAGCCTACGGATTGAGCTCCCTGTCAACGCGCTACGTGTTGCATGTTGCGTATCGTGGCATCGGCGATGCATCGCCCATTCCAGGTCGATGATTCCTCCGGGAACCAGCTTCCCCTGATTGTCGAAGATGCCTCTGGTGAATCACCGCCGCCCCCTGCCTTTTGGAAACGCCTATGGTGCCGCTTGTTGTGGCCAGGGCTCGGCCAGGCTATCGAACTGTGTGTTTTCCCAGCCGTTGTGGGAACACTTCCGAGAAGAAGCGAGGGACGAAGAGAAGAATGAGGAGAAGGAGGAGCCGGTGACGGAGGAGCATGCTGAGTATGATGATGATGAAGACGAAGAAGAAGAGGGCCGTCTTGGGCCGTCGGAAGGTCGACACAGAGCAATTGCCACAGACCTTCGAACAGATAGAGTCCTAGCCAGCGCGGGCCCCAAACAGTGTGTATCTAGTAATACATGTGTTGCGATCTACGTGGGACAATCTATGTGATGCAATTGTTATTATCAAATCTACCTTGTGCAATGTTGTGGTGCAATTTATGTGGCGCAGCCAACGTGATGAAATTTAGCACTGCTCGCAGAGAGCTGTCAACTCCACTGCTCGCGCAACCATCCCACCCACCCAGCTGCAACTTAGTTTGCAAAGTCCATGCGACGGCGATTGCGATGACTGCTCGGCGTTGGCTGGTGCATCTTTGCGGCCGCGCTGGCCCGCGCATGCTCGCGACCGTGGCGGTCGCGGTGGCGCTGACCGCAGGGCACTTCCCAGCGGGCGTCCCAGTGCGAGTCGGTGACTTGGGCTGGCGCCGCATCATGGCGACGCCGACAACGGTTGACACCATGATGTGAGTAGCGATGATTGTGGCGACGGTGGCGATGACGACGGCAGGGCCAATGACGGCGCTGATGTTGATCGCGCCCGCCGGTAACGATGACGACGTTCTCGCGTCGGTGACGGAGGTATCGGAATTAATCCGGCATGCGCGCGCGGCCCACGCGCGCGAGAGGCCCGCGTGGTATCATTTGTCGCGGGTCGTTCCCCCCAGTGCGCGCGCAGAGATCGACATGCGGCGCGGGAGGCGCGCTTGGCAAATGTGATGACACTGGGGAAAACGCATGGTTTGTTTAAGGATCCCTAAAAGCTCGCTCGCAGTTTTTGTTTGGAAATGGCATTGCGAGGCCAGGTTTTGCTTCTATCAGAAAATCCGGGACGCTCGATTTTGAAATCCTGACGGTCGAAGTGTTTTTACAAGATGTTGGCATGCATGCGCGCGACGACGCGCGCGCGTGCACCTCGCCCCACGTTTTGCAAAGGGCTCTTGCGACAGCATGCGCGCCAGGGCGTTCTTACGATTCCGACATGCGCGCGCGAGAGGCCCGCTTGGCACCACCAGTTTATGGACATGAGGGCGCGAGCGCAGGTTTTTTATGAACAAGTTTGCGCGCATAGTTCGGTCGCAGAGGACGAGGGGGGGATGTCCATCTAATTGGGATGATACGAGTTCAGATTTAGGATGGACAATGGGGCTGAGTCATATATAGACTGTCCATTCCCAGTGGGGTCGATAGGTCCGGGCGGGCGTAGATCCTTAGATTCTTTCGGAAAGAAAATCTACGTGATTCAAGATATGTGGTTAAATCTACGTGTTGCAGTCAACTTCTGTTCGCAGTGAGCCGTCAACTCCACTGGCCGCGAAATTATCCCACCCGCCCACCCGCAACTCGGTTTGCAAAACCCATGCGGCAGCGATTGCGAAGAGTGCTTGGTGTTGGCTGGTGCATTTCTGCGGCCACGCAAGCCCGCTTATGCTCGCGCGCGCAATGGCCAGGTAGTGCGGCGCCTGACGCGGCTGCGGTGGCGCTGGCCGCTCGGCACTTTCCAGCGGGCACCTCAGAGGGGGTCGGTGACTTGGGCGGGCGCGGCATCACGGCGACGCCGACAACGGTAGACACGATTGCGAGACCCGCGATGGCGATGAAGGTGGCGATGACGACGACCAGGCCAAACAAAAACGGCGCCGACGCGGATCGCGCCGGCGACGACGACGGCGTTTTCGCGTCGGCGGTGAAGGTTTCGGAAGGAGTTCGACACGTGGGCGCGGCCGACGCGCGAGAGTAGCCGCGCGGTATCATTTGACGCGAATCGCGCTCCCCCCGGCGCGCGCGAGGGCGTTCGAAAATTGTCGGCACGCGGCGCGAAAGGCCCGTTCTGCAGATCACAATGAAATTGTTGACAACAGTTGGTCGCCCCAAGGATCGGCCCTAGCGCGAGCGCAGGCTTGCGCGAGCGCTGACGCTGCGACAGAATGGTTGTGTTGGACACTCGGTTTTGAGATCCCTGCGACTCCCGAGGTGTTTGATTGATTCCGGCATGCGCGCGCGACGACGCTCGCGCATGCACTTCGCGCTTCTTGTTGTGAAGGATTATTCCGCCATCGCGCCTGCAAGGCCATTCGAGCGATTTCGCCATGCGCGCGCGGAGCCCGTTTGGTAGCATGGTGTGAAAATGTTGATGAACGCATGGTTGTCTTGCCAGAGCTCGAGCGCCAGTTCTTGTCTTTTGAGAACAGCGTTTGAGCATTATTTTTCTATATATGTTTCTGGACACTTGGTTCTGACATCCTCGCGAAGCCAGAGGCGATTTCGACATGCGCGCGCGACGATGCGCGCGCGTGCCTTTCGCCCCATATGTTGCATGTGACAATTGAAAACTGATGACTTTTGATAATGGTGTGCGCTCGCATATTTTTTTGCGAGCGATGCCTGTGGGGGGGTCAATGCCAGTCCCTCTGGGATTGTGCGAGTTCATATTTAGGATGGGCGATGGGGCAGAATCGCTCGTAAATTGCAAATGCAAGAAGGGAGGAGGCGATGGCGATGCATCTCTGCGGCCGCGCTAGCCCGCGCATGCTCGCGCGCGCAGCGGCCTGCTAGTTTGGCGCGACCGACGCGGCGAACGCGGTTTCACGGCAACGTCGACGCTGGCGATGCTGGCGACGATGTCGGTAACGACGACGGCGCGGACATGGGCGGCGCCGACGCTGATCGCGTCGACGACGATGACGGCGTCCTCCCCTCGGAGATGATGGTTTTGGAAGGAGTTTGACATGCGCGCGCGGCCGACGCGCGAGAATGGACCCGCATGGCATTATTTGACCCGGATCGCGCCCCCCCCCCCCCCCCACCACCACCCCACCCCACCCCACCCAGCACGCGCGCAAGGGCGCTCGAATGGTTTCGGCATGCGACGCGAGAGGCCCGCTTGGCAGATTGCAGTGGGATGGTTGAAAACCGGTGTTTTTTATAATTAAAACCAACATCGTTCTAGCGCGTGCGCAATTTTTTTTGGTGCTAAACGATGTTGCGAAGTCATGTGTTTTTAAAGGTTTTGGGACGCTCGGTTTTGAATTATTTATTGAGTTCTTAACGGGTTAGTGCACGCGCGCGCGACGACGCGCGCGCGCACGTCGCCGGACGCTTTGGAAAAAAAAGAGTTCTTGCGACAGCGCGCGCGAAGCCCCGTTCGGATGACCGGTGTTGGCAATATTGAAAAATGCGTGGCTCCTTTGCGAGTTCGCATGAGCGCTGGCGGAAGCGTTGTTTTGAAACCGTGTGTTTCTATATGTTTGTTTGACGTTCAATTTTGACATCCGCGCGAAAGCGAGGGCTTTTGAACATGTTGCGTGCGCGCGCGGCGACGCGCGCGCAATTCGCCCCGTCTGTTGCGTTGGATTTTTGAAAGCTGATGACATGTGATCAACGAGTGCGCGCGCGAAGAGTTCTTTGCAGAGGATGACTGGGGGGTCGATGCCGGGTCGCCTGGGATAGCAGAAGTACACATTTAGGATGGACGATGGGGCAGAATCGTATGTAAATTGCAATAGGGTAGACTAGAGCTCGCTGCGCGCAGTAATTTGCCGAGTCCAAGCATGCGCAACAATCCCATCCACCCGCCCGCAATTAGGTTTGCAAAACACATGCGGCGGCGATTGCGATGTGTGCTCGGCGTTGGCTGGTGCATCTGTAAGGCCGCGCCAACCCGCGCACGCTCGCGCAGCGGCCAGCTAGTTTGGCGCGACCGACGCGGCCGCGGTGGCGCTGGCCGCTGGGCACGTCCCAGCTGGCACATCAGTGCGAGTCGGCAACTAGGGCGGGCGTGGTATCATAGCGACGTCGACAACGCGAGACACGATGATGATAGTAACGATGCTGGCGACGATGTTGACAGCGACGACGGCACGGCCAGTGACGGCGCCGATGCTCACCACGCGGGCGACGATGACGGCGTCATCGCCTCGGCGATGAAGGTTTTGACAGGACTTCGACCGGCATGCGCGCGCGGCCGACGCGCGAGAGCGGCCCGCATGGTGTTATTTGACACGGATCGTGCCCCCCCCCAACACGCGCGCAAGGGCGTTCGAATGATTTCGGCATGCGGCGCGAGAGGCCCGCTTGGCAGAACACAGCGGCTTGGTTGAAAACCTAAGGTTCTCTTGAGAATTTGCCTTCGCTTGGGGGCAGGCTTTGTTGAAAACTGACGTTGCGAAGTCATGTGTTATATGTGCTTCTGGGACACTAGTTTTTGAAACCCTTACGACAATTAAGATTGTCTATTGAATTCGGCGCGCGCACGTCATCCCACTTGTTGCAAATGATTCTTGCGACAGCACGCGCGCAAGGACGTTCGAACGACTTCGACATGCGCGCGCGAAACTCTGTTGGTAGAATCCTACGACAATGTTGTACAACCCATGTTTTATGGTGGAGAGCGCGACGGTGCGCGCGCAAGTTGTTTTGAACATCCATGTTGCGAAACCATGCGTTTGTATTGTATGTTTCTTTTGACATTTGATTGCGAAGGCCTGACGGCCGGTGCCGCCGACCCTGTTCGCAATGCGCAGCAAGAGATTACGAGGTTGCTCAAGGTCGGCTTGGCTGGAGCCCAGGGGAAGAGGAGTCCCAGGGGGGGGCGTCGTATCTGACCCGGGGGGGGGGTCGCTACCCCCCCCCCCTCCCGGCGGGGGAGGGATCAAAGGGAAGGGGCTTCCCTTCGACTCAATTACGAGGTTGCTCAAGGTCGGCTTGGCTGGAGCCCAGGGGAAGAGGAGTCCCAGGGGGGGGCGTCGTATCTGACCCGGGGGGGGGGTCGACACCCCCCCCCCCCTCCCGGCGGGGGAGGGATCAAAGGGAAGGGGCTTCCCTTCGACTCAATTACGAGGTTGCTCAAGGTCGGCTTGGCTGGAGCCCAGGGGAAGAGGAGTCCCAGGGGGGGGCGTCGTATCTGACCCGGGGGGGGGGTCGACCCCCCCCCCCCTCCCGGCGGGGAGGGATCAAAGGGAAGGGGCTTCCCTTCGACTCAATTACGAGGTTGCTCAAGGTCGGCTTGGCTGGAACCCAGGGGAAGAGGAGTCCCAGGGGGGGGCGTCGTATCTGACCCGGGGGGGGGGTCGACCCCCCCCCCCCTCCCGGCGGGGGAGGGATCAAAGGGAAGGGGCTTCCCTTCGACTCAATTACGAGGTTGCTCAAGGTCGGCTTGGCTGGAGCCCAGGGGAAGAGGAGTCCCAGGGGGGGGCGTCGTATCTGACCCGGGGGGGGGGTCGACACCCCCCCCCCCTCCCGGCGGGGGAGGGATCAAAGGGAAGGGGCTTCCCTTCGACTCAATTACGAGGTTGCTCAAGGTCGGCTTGGCTGGAGCCCAGGGGTTGCTCAAGGTCGGCTTGGCTGGAGCCCAGGGGAAGAGGAGTCCCAGGGGGGGGCGTCGTATCTGACCCGGGGGGGGGTCGCTACCCCCCCCCCCTCCCGGCGGGGGAGGGATCAAAGGGAAGGGGCTTCCCTTCGACTCAATTACGAGGTTGCTCAAGGTCGGCTTGGCTGGAGCCCAGGGGAAGAGGTCTCCCAGGGAAAGGGAAGGACTGAGACGACGAGTACAAAGAATGACGGAGATGACGGCTCGAACGGAAAAGCCCCTCACACACGCCGACAGGGTCGGCGGATTTTGAAAGTATGCCGCCGCTCACGATGTTTGAAGGTTTGCGGCATGCGCGCACCACGACGCGCGCGTGCGCACCTCGTCGAATTTGAAATCCAATGGGTTTTTTGTTTAAAAAATGTACTTTGATGAATAAACGAGCATTATGTTTTTGCAGAGGATTGCGGGGGGGGGCGATACCGTGTGAATTTGCATCCTTTCTAAATTGCCATACGAAAGAAGGGGGCGAGTAATCCCGGGGGGGATCGGATTGACTTCTCTTTTTTAAGATCGGGGAACCTGTGTTGTGCAATCTGCATGTGCAATCTACGCTGCGCAATACATGTAGTGCAACGCGCGTGGTACTATCTAGGTTGTGCTCTCTATGTGCAGCAAGCGATGTGGTGCAGGTAGTATGGTTCAGCTTACCCTGCCGAAATTGGCGTTGTCAAGTCCACTGCTCGCGCAATCATCCCACCCACCGGCCCGCCCCCAAGATCGCCATCGTGGGTGCGATATTGCGGGGTTTCTGAAGCTGTCTTGCACCGTCGGGAATTCGAAAAGGCGAGAAGCCCATAATTCTTCAAACAACTACGGGGAATAAGTGACTGTCGCCTGCGGAGGCCCTCGAGGAAGGCCTCCGGGAGCGTCTTGGAAGCATCTGTGGCAGTTTTGAGACCGTTTTGGGCGTCTTGGCGCAGTCTTGAAACCGTCTTGGGCGCCTTGGCGCGATCGTCCGGCGACCCGTCTTGAGGTTCTTTTGGGGCCACCTTTTGGGCCCTCAGGAGGCTCCGAGGCGGGGTCTTGGGTACCAAAAGGTACGTCGGGGCTCGATTTCGGAGGATATCTCAGGCGAAACCGCAATTTTTTTGACAGTCGGGATCAAACTCATTGAAAGTACGTTGTTTGTTTGAAGGTTTGATGTTCGAATGTTGAAATTCCAATATGTTTTTGGGCCCTCTTGAGGCGGAGGAGGAGGAGGAGGAGGAGGAGGAGGAGGTGAAGGAGGAGGAGAGGGAGGAGGAGGGAGGAGGAGGAGGAGAGGAGGAGGAGGAGGAGAAGAAAGAGGAGAAGAAGAAGGAGGAGGTGGAGGAGAAGGAGAAACGGGGCCACCTTTTGGGCCCCTGGAGGCGTCGGGAGGCAGGGCGCGACAGACCCCCCCGCAGGGGCCACGCGGCGCGCCCCCAAGAGGGCTGGCAGCTCTGGGTGCGGAGCCCCTTCCAGGAAGGAGCAAAAAGCACAGACACAATCCTCCTCCTCCCTCCTCCTCCCCCCTTCCCTCCTCCCTCCTCCTTCCTTCCTCCTCCTCCTCCTCCTCCTCCTCCCTCCTCCCCCTCCTCCCTCCTCCCTCCTCCTTCCCTCCTCCTCCTCTCCTCCTCCCTCCTCCCTCCTCCTCCTCCCCTCCTCCTCCTCCTCCTCCTCCTCCTCCTCCTCCTCCTCCTCCTCCTCCTCCTCCTCCTCCTCTGGACACAATCGATCGTCGGTTCCTCGGAAAAGATGGGAAACTATGGGAAGTGGGGGGGAAGACAAGAACCCAACACATATTGGAAAATAGTGGTGCGGAGCCCTTCCAGGAAGGAGCAAAAAGCACAGACACAATCGATCGGGGTGACAGGGAGGCTGGAGGCGTGGTGGGCGCGGCGTTTGGGTTTGCGGTTGGCGTCGGGGCGGATTTGCGACCTGTCAGTACATCGAAAGTCATGTGTCCTTCTTCCCCACTTCCAGCATGTCTGTCGCCTTTTTTCTTTCTCTCTCTCTCTCTGTCTCTCTCTCTCTCTCTCTCTGTCCGTCGGCCTGTAGAGGGGGACACCCACAGGACAGCCACGGGACAACGGCGGGACAACCTCTTTTGTCGATGCCTCGGAAAATATGGGAAACTATGGGAAGTGGGGGGGAAGACAAGGACCCAGAACACATTGGAAAATATGGGGGATCCTGCTATATTCGTGTGTGTATTTATTTGTGTGTCCCAGGGCCCCTTTCACCCTTCCAGTTTCCTCAGGGTTGAGGACGGAGGCTCAAGGGACTACAGTCGGCCCGGATTAGTAGGTCAACCCTGCCAAATCAAGGGTACTCTCATGTCCTAATTATGCATCGCGCGTCGTGTCCTCTGCAGTCCTGGGAAGAGGCCATGCTGGAGGCCATGCTGCGGGCACCCTTGTTGGAGGCCATGTTGCCGTCGGAGTAGTCTTGTGTCCTGTGGCGAGTCCTGTGCAATCAATTCTGCCTGTATGCCCAGGGCCTGAGGACACCCCAACTCGTGCCTCAAAGGCACGGTGGCGGATCGTTGCCCCTCAGGTGGGTGCCGACGTGGAGCTGACCGGGTTGGTCGAGGACGCGGAGGATCGGGGGGGAAGCGGGCCGTAAACGTGTATCGCGCCGCCTTGGAGCCGGCTGGGGGTCTGAGGCGGCACAGCACTGGTCCCTGCGAGCAGGGAGGGGGGGATGCTCGAGGTCTCAGGTTCGAGATGGGGTTTGGCATTTCCGTGGGCTTCTGGAGGCCGTTCTTGCAGTAAGGATGAGCGACTTTCCAAGGCTACCCTTGCATCTTTCCCTGGGCCGCTTTCGCTGGCCGCGCCCCGCTCGCAAATTGCCGACGTGACCCTTCAAGGCCCTTGCATCCTTGGCGCGCGCCCTTTTCTACGTGGGCTGATGGTGTCCCCTCCTCTTGGCCGACTTTCTCGGGGCCTGTCCAGTTCAGACCCCCCGGCCGCCTCCAAGAGCGCCGCGCCTCATCCCCCCGAGCCGTCCTCCTCCTCCCCCTCCTCCTCCTCATCCTCCTCCTCCTCCTCCTCCTCCTCCTCCTCAACTCCTCAACTCCTCCTCCTCCTCCTTCTCCTCCTCCTCCTCCTCCTCCTCCTCCTCCTCCTAGAGCAGCTCCTCGCGGTCGGCGCCCCCAGACGTGTCCACTGGGCGGGCAGGGCGGCACGCCCGAGATTTTGAGAGGAGGGACACGGTGCCGCTGCCGATGCCGGTGCCGATGCCCTCCAGCCGTTTTCCCCTCGTTCGGCCTCCTGGGAGACACCGCTGGATTCGTCGCGAAGTGTTGGTCAGAACGCACCCTCGTCGACACCCGAGGTTCGGAGGAGGAACAGGTACTGCTACCGATGCCAGTGCCGATACGCCTCCAAGACGCCCAGTATGGCCTCCAAGACGGCCCCGAAACGCCCCAAGAGGGCCCCAAGTCGGCCCAGAAAGGCTCCCAGGACAGCTCCCGACGGCGTCAGACGTGCCAGGAACCCACCAAGATGGCCGAAGTTGGCTCGAAGTTGGCCCAAGACGGCCCAAGAGGCCCCCAAGAGGGCCTCCAGGAATGCCAGAAGAGGCCGTTTTCCCCTTGTTCGGCCTCCTGGGAGGCCCTCGTCGACACCGCTGGATTAGTCGCGGTCGCGAAAATATATTGGTCAGAACGCACCCTGGGAGAGGTCCAGGGAGTCGCGGAATCGTTTACCTTTGGTTTCCCCAGGACTTCCCCCACCACTTCTGATTCTCAGGCGTGACGTTTGCAGCAAGTTCGCGGATAGGTTCTCAAAATGTTGCTCTCGCTTTGGCGGCGCGCACGTTTTCAAAGTTTGCTGTTGCTTCAGTATAGAAGACAGATCTTACTCAAATTGTGGATCTCTCCTGAGAGCCGCGCACATTCGCTTCAAATGTTTGCAACAACTTCGCTGATGCTCCCGGCGTAGCGCCGCGCTCGTTCTCCACAACAGTTTTGCGCCGCGTTCAGGAGTTCGTATGGTTGAAGTTCCAGGAATGGTGTTCTGGCGCGCTCTAAGATGGTCTGGGCGCAACAGTCACGCCGATTCGCGGTATGGAAGTCCCAGAACTGGTGCTAATTATGGCACGCTTTCGGGCAGCACGCAACAGCCACGCTGATCCGCGGCGCTGAAGTCCCAGGCGTTTTGTTCTGGGGCGATTGAGGCTTCCCTGACGGTGGCTTAATGATAGGCCCTTTCCCGCAGTGCTTTTGTTGCAAGGACCTGTGAAGAGGGAACTTGGAGGGAGGTTTGCTGCAGCATCGTTGATGCATCATGGCTTTACTCTGGTCCTCCTCCCTCCTATTTCTCCCCCCCCTCCATCTCCTTCCTCCTTCCTCGTCCCTGTCCACCCCCATCCCTGGCCCCACCTCGGGGCCGCGGGCTTCGCTTCCCGCTCGGATGCTGCAGCAGCGCAGAGGCCAGAGCCTGGACGTGGCACTTGGCAGCCCCCCCTTGCGCAGGCCCGCTCGCTGGCCAGCGGTGCCGCGCCCCTGCTTCCAGGGCGGGGCGCACAGGAGGGCTCGGCTGCGGGGTGCCTGCTCGCCCCGAGGGCCAGCGAGACGCCCCCGGCAGGCCAAGGCAGTCGGCTGCCCGGCCGTGCATCCGCGTGTGCGCAGGGGCCCTTGCCCCCGCCCCCAGTCAGTATCGCCGCTTGCCGCTCGGCCTCGCCGCCAAGCCGCTTCACCTTCACCTCCTCTTTTGTCTCCTCCTCCTCCTCCTGCTCCTCCTCCTCCTCCTCCTGCTCCTCCTCCTCCTCCTCCTCCCTTCCTCCTCCTCCTCCTCCCCCTCTGCCCCCCCCTTCTCCTCCTCCCCCTCTTCCTAGTCCTCTTCCTCTCCTCTCCCCCCCCTGTCCTCGTGGGCCCAGGGGGGCCCGGGGGGGGTAGCCCAGAGGCCCCCTCTGAAAGCAGCTGCCGAGGTGCGCACTCCCCCACCCCCACGTCTGTTTCCGCCCGTCACCGCTGCCTCCTGGCCGAGAGGAGAAGACCCCGACGGCGTTCCAGTGACCTCTCGCCGGACATCGGCGGCGCGCAGGAGGCGCTGGGCCACCTGGCGTCTCTTGCCTTCGCTGCCCCCCCCCAGATCTCTGGCGTCGTGGCCTTGGCATCGCTCGGACGTGTGAATTTCTCTTTCGGCGAGGACCATCGAGGAGCATCCTTGATTGCTCGGCAAAAAAACCACGCACGAAGTCGAAAAAAGCATAGGAAATGGACGTCCGAGCGATGGCCAGTGGCTCGTTCACAACGCCGACCCCCAGAGGTCAAGACCCCTTCCCGCCCGCGGATCTCCAACGTCGTGACTTGACTACAACGTCGGCCCCCTGGGGTCTAGATCCCTTCCCCCGGGCCAGGTCGTCATCCCGAGCGGTTGTCTGCCGACCCTGGAGCCCAGAAAGGGCCCCCCAGAGGCCGTTGCCTAAAACTCTCCGTCGTGATTCTTGGCATCGCTCGGACGTGTGCCTTTTTTTTTCTCGGGGAGGATCATGGAGGCGCATGCAAGGTAGGTCACCGTGCGAAAAGCACGCGCGAAACCGAAACATGTTTTGGGAAGGGACGTCCAAGCGACGGCGAGGATTCTTTCACAACTGCACAAGGTGGGAGTCGCCGCTCCTCGTTTCTCAGGGGGGAAAACACACAGACACAATTCATTGTCCATCCCCATCAAAATATAGGAAACTATTGGACGCAGGGGGGAAGAGGAAAACCCTGAAAATACATGAAAAATATCGGGGGAATCCTGGGATATGTGTTTATTAATCGCTTCGCTCATTCCGCCGGCCCACATTGTATCGCTGGTGCTATATGTTTGTGTGTTCGTGGCGAGCGAGAAGAAGTTGGAGGAGGGGGAGGAGGAGGAGGATGAAGAGGGGAGGATAAGGACGAGGAGGCGGTCTCTCGATGGCTTCTTGGAGTATTTTTTGGGCCAACCCTGGTCGTGGACAAGACGCCTCTTTGGGAGGCTTCGTGGGGTCTCTTGGGAGGCCTCTCGGGGGCCTGTTGGAGGTGTTTTTGGAGCCTCCTGGGGCCTCTTGGGGGCCTCTTGGGGCCTCCTGGGGGCCTCTTCGGGCAAAGATGTCGAAATGCCCGTTCGGGTCCCCCGTCTATGCCCTCTCTTGGAGCCGTCTTGGGGGTGTATTGGGCCGTCTTGGAGGCCTCTTGGGCAGTCTTGGGGCCATCTTGGGCCGTTTGGGGGCCCTCTTGGAGACCTCTCGGGCCGTCTTGGGGCGGTCTTGGGGGCCTCTTGGGGCGTCTTGGAGCGTCGGAAGCTGAAAATGCGAGAACGCCAAAAACCTTCAAAAACCAATGGAAAATCAACGATTTTTGCTTCTTGGGGCCCTTTTTGGAGGCCTCTTAGATGCTTCTTGGGCCATCTTGGAGGCCTCTTGGGCCGTCTGGAGGCCATCTTGGGCGTCGTGGAGCGATCTTCGGGCGTCTGGGGCCCCTCTTGGACCATGTTTGGGGCCTCTTGGGGCCCTCTTGGGGCGATCTGGAGCCCTCTTGGGCTCCGAAACAGAATTCCGGCATCTCTGACCCCTAGTCTGCCGGGGATCTGCCGGGGATCGCCCGGGGTACTTTTCGCTCGGGGACCCCCAGGGGCCGCCCTGCGCGCGCGAACTAGAAATACTGTTTACCTGTTACCGGAGATCTTAGCACGCCCTGGCCCGTTGGGCCGGCGGAATCCTGGGATATGTGTTTATTTACTTGTGGGTCCCAGGACCCCTTTCGAGGGGGGAGTCGCCGCTCCTCGTTTTTTTGTTGGGGGTGGGCGGGGCGCCAAGGGGCCTCCCTCGCCGCCGCGGCCGGACGAAGTGCACTGGCAAGACGGGCCCCTTGCGGAGGGCCCCGGCCATCGGCATGGCGTGGGCTGTGGTCGTCTAGGCCTCCTAGATTGGGTCGGAGTAGATGTGGTCGGAGGATCGCGCCGCATCGCCGATGTATCGTCGATGCGGCTCGATGTGGAGCCCGTGTTTCCCCAGGCCGACGTCACCGATGTATCGCCGATGCATCGTCCATGCATCGCCGATGCATCGGCAATGCATTGGCCATGCGGCGCGATCCTTCGACCCCATCTACTCGGGCCCCATCTAGGAGGCCTCTAGGTTGGGAGTGGGGCGATGGTGGTTGGGGGAAGGCAAGCAGTGGCGAAGCGTCCTGGCGTGCCTATAGGCCTGCCAGACAATGTTCTCAGAACCTTGTGTGTGGTCCCCACGGGTTGTTCTCGGAGCAGTTCTGGCCGGGATTGTCCTGTTTCAGCACATCGGGTGTATGTTCTAAGAGCATTGTTCTTGTTCTTAGAACATGTTTGGGTTCTACGACGATTTCGTGGTAGGCCTATAGGAATGCCGGGAAGGTCGTTCCCTGCTCAAGGAAGGCAGGGTGCTTCACACAAGGAAGTGCATGCTTTTTGAACCGAAGAAGCAACAACAACCATTAACATCATTTGTTGGCGCTCTTCGCGGATCTCTCTCGGATCCGCGCAGATCCAAGCAATCCGCGCGGAGCGCCACAAGTTTATGCTTATGGCGTCTTTCCTTTTTTTCTTTTCACACAAAGGGTTGGAGGCTTCCAAGGGGGGGGCGGCACTGGACCCTCTCGCGCCGTGACAAGCACACGGCGCAAAGGGTTGGGCAGAGTTCGGCCTCCTGGGGCCCTGACCGGACCCCACGACCGTCAAAACATTGTTCGGGTTATGATCTTCCAACCTTCTTTAGCCCAGCTCACCAGAAAGAAATTCGAGCACCAAGAAAGCACCCACACTCGAAGGTTTTTACGTATCGGGCCCTGGGAGACATTCGTTCGACACGATTTCGATACTGTTTCGACACTTTTCGGGGTGCTCGAAATTGTTTATGGGATGCGGTCCTTAAGTACGATGGGAGGAACATAATGCTCGGGGTGGAACACCGGTTCTGGGGAAAAGATCCACACTTTTTCGGGACACATTTGCGAGCGAAAACGCGACGTCGGAGTTGTTGGAAAGCAGGGTGCCTCAGAGAAGGGACCAGAGGTTTCTTAGGAGGCTTCTTAGAGGGCATGCGGTTGGGACGCAATTCCTGGGGCGGGGTGAACTCGGTATCGGCTATGGTACACCCGTTGTCGAACACTGGCGCCATCTGGCATAATCCCGTTAATTCCGTTGAGTACCAGTTACTCCGGGTTAATATTCAGTCTCGTGTTGGTTTATCTAGCCTATTGGCGTTTAATCGGATTTCGTAGACCCTAATCTCTAGGCCTCTCAGATGGGGTCGGAGTAGATGTGGTCGGAGGATCGCGCAGCATCGGCAACGCAGCTCGATGTGGAGCTCGATTTTCTCCACGCCGACGCCGACGTCGCCGATGCATCGTCGACGTCGCGAATGCACCGCCGATGCATCGGTGATGAGTCGGGGATGCGGCGCAATCCCTGGACCCCATGTACTCCGAACCCCTCTGTAAGGCCTCTACACTCAAAATGCAACTCCTAAGAAACTAAGTTCACAATCAGCGCTGGCTTTTTCCCTCGTCGATAACCGGCCTATCTTCGTGATGTCCGGCTGAATCCCGAGTCCGGCCTTCATCGCCCTTTAATCGGGCTGAAGGGCCTTTCATCGCTCTGACGAAGACCTCCCAGAAGCTACCTCCCAATGACATTCGCTGTGACGAGGACCTTTCTCACAAGGGCCCTCCAGGAGCCGAGACCAAGCGGACCCGAAAGCGCCACAACCTGAGCACCAGGCCACCCTTCCCCCGCCCAGCCAGAGCCTGTGGCTCCTCTGAGCCGTCCTCGCAACTCTCGGCGGACCGCCGCAAGGCGTGAAAGCAATATGCGTCCTGGAGCGGCCTCTCGCCGCAGGTCGCACATCTGTACTGCTTACCTGCCTTCTCAATTAAGTGCCCATTGTGCTCGGGAATAAGTTGTAAAATCTGGGGTTTGGGCCTGCGCGGCCTCTTATATCTGGTAACATCTGGAAAAGCCCTGGCAGACAATCCACTCATAACTTCAGATATCATCCAGGCCGATTGCTTAGCAAGACTACTACTGCGCGCGAGCTGAGCTTGAATTAGTGGGTCGGTGGGATGCGCCTGGGCCCCAAGCTTGGCTAGCTCGTCGGCTCGCTTGTTGCCTCTCCACGCCCGCTCGCTAGCTCCTCGCCTACGGGCCTGGCCACTCACTGAAATCAGTTCACGTCCGATGACTTCTGACATGTCGAAAATCTCCTTCCAAATCTCTGAATACGCGATATCCTCAAGGTTCTGCTCTGGCCCGAACCCCCAAACATCTTCTACCATCTTGCAGACAGTGACTATGTCAAGCCCTTGTGGGCCCGCCAACCTCATCGCCATCCTGCAAGCATGGACCTCTCCTGCTCCTGCAAGTTGGACCACGTGCGGCTGCGGGCCGTACGAGTCCGCTTTCCGTGACAGAGACCGCTGCCCATCCTATTCTGGCAAGAGAAGGTTGATCTTGATCATATCCCGACCCGTCTATGCACACTCGCTTGTCGAGTACACCGTTGGGCGGGACCACGTCCCATCGAAATCCTGCCTGCTGGTACGGCGTGGGCCACGTCCACGCCGCGCTCGGGAATAGCGCCCTCGTGTGGAGCACCTCCGTGCCTGGCCAAACAGGTGCGTCCAGAAGCTCTTGAACGTCTAGATCTCGAATTCGTGGCCAATGGGCGGGGCATCTGAACCTCATGCACAGCATGCACCTGTTGTCCACCACCCTCCTGTCCTGGAAGAGCCTATCCTGGGTCGGGTACCCGCCTGCGACCACGCCCGCGAGACCCGCTGCCGCCTGCCACCTGCCCTGCGCCCGCAGATCCCCGAGCACCTCGATCACAGGTTCGGGCAGCGGCCCATCGTCGAGGCCCTCAATACGACCGTCCCCGAGGCTCAGTATCAGGTGCTCCCGAACAACCCTCTCCAGAATCATTTTCATCGATCGGCCTCCCAGATAGGTGATATCAATCTCCAACCCTGACCTGGCCACAAACAAGTTCCAGGCCTTCGGTTCCAAGCCTAGCCTACTCAGGGTCAAGACGACCGCACCTGCAGGACCTCG